GGTCCTGAGGTAAATTAGTAAAGTCACAGCAAATTAAATTATAGCTCTTGCTTTTCTGTCTCTTCTTTTACAAGTAAGAAAGATGATTAAAACAGTTTAATTTTAGTTATGTGCAAAACATCAGAAAGCAAAATAAGCTTATGGTATATTTGGGTTGGGGTTTTTTTTGGTTTTGTTGTGGTTTGTTTTTTATAAGAACGTATATATTAGTTTGACCAAGGTTTTACTGGAAATACAGTTTATTACCAAGAAGGACAATATCATTTAAGAATATTTCTTAGTGTATTTTGTTTTACTGTTCTATTGAGGTACTTATCATGAATCAAAGTATATAGCATGTGAAATAACATTGAGTAACTACTCTCACAAACACCGACTTCAGAAATACATACACTCTTATCTCCTGGTTATTTTATCAGCTCTGTTCTGTTGATTGCAGCATCTGTGAGTTACTCATATTGCTACAGATACACAAAAATTATTTCAAGGAATATTTTGTATTCAAAAACATAAGCCTCTCAGAGGAACTGTTCACTATCCTTTTTACCTTCTCTCCTCATCTCATTAATTAGAAGCAAGCTCCTACAGTATCAGGACAGGAAATAAACTTCAAAAGAAGATCAAAATTTATAATATGTTTTCAAAGAACATATTAAGCAAATTAAAGTCACCTCGTTTTCTGTAAGAATAGAAAAGAAAGGATCAAACTCACCATTTGTATCCAGCAACAACATGTAACCATATCATGAATGAAAAAGAACCACTCTTCATTGCACATAGTCATTCGTTTTATATTAAGTAGTATTCAGTAATGACATTTATCAGTAGGGAAAAGGCACAGTATTTTGTGCAGCTGAGTTTACAGTTTATTTTTTTTAAATGACACAGTAAATCTAATTAATTTATTGCAGTGTGATAAAAGCAGCATATCAACTGATAAACATTAATATGTTGTCTTAGAACCAGTTAATCCAAATGGATAAACTGACTGTCCCCCATTTTTTGATAGGCAACAATTCTGGGAATGAATACTGCTGAATCATTTCGTGTGTCCTCACAGTTCCTTCCACCTCATAACCTTCTGCTCTGCTTTGAAACCCTCTACATTAACTCTTTTATATAACACATTCAAGCTAGAGAGAAAACCTACCCAGGGGATAGAAATGGATGATTGTAAATGGATAATTCCAAGATTAAGAACTACTTTAAAGAGTTCAGAAGATTTAGAGTACTTCTTGCCTTTGTATTTAATCAACTCATATATAGAATAATACTAATTGTGTTGTGAGAAAATATGTCACAAAGAACAAGAACAGAAAGACAACTAACTCTAGGTTAAAATATCAAAGAACAGGTGCTCCAAGCTTATATTTTCAAAAGTAATATCATTCTCAAAAGAAGATAGGGAATGTCCAAGTTACTGTCCGCAAATTTCTTCATGGGTCTTGTTCTGTTTTCAAAATGTTCAATTCTTTTGAAATACATACTACTTTTTCAGACTACTTCTTCAATTTGCAAAATTAGTTTTCATTTATAATCTTATTTTCCAGCATGTTTTTAACCCTTCCCAGCTGGGTGTGTGATATGTATTCATCATTCTGAACACTGATGAAAGCCTCAAACACAACACATCCCTACCAGATCCTACTAGACATCTTTCCAGTTTCATCATAATACATTAATAATTACACTTTGACATCGTCTTGTTATCCGAGAGGCAATTTCATCTTGCATACGTCCCACCATTAGCTTGCTAATTAAAACCTTCTAAGACACCATAAACAGTTTTTCTAACGTCAATACTTTTTCCTGTAATCCAAGAAAAGCAAGATGTTTGATGCGATTCTTGAAAAACCCATATTGTGTGTTATAATTTTCCCCTACATTCCTGTATTAATTCAGTTTATAATTTTTTTTTTTGTTCTTACGATATTTTTCCAGAAAATGCAACAAAAATATCAAATTCATAATTTGTTGGGGGGGTTTTTTGGCAGGCAGGCAGGTAGATTTGGCCTTTTCCAGGCTCTTGGGAGTTCCCAGAGTTGGCCATGAGACTAAAGATCCCATTCAGGTTTAATTTCATCACACATGGCCAATATGAAAACAGTTTTTAGCATTTCAGTACAAAAGGTCTGTCTTAAAGAAAGGAAGTTTCATAAGCCAGAAACCCTCAGCTGCACAAGGATGGATCTATCACTTTTTAGTATAGATGTGATGGCATAATTATTTTTTTTTTTTTAAATCACAGGGTTTTCTTAATAATTTCAATTAAGTTAGTTGTTTGAAAGAATCAATACCATGTGGCGAGGTAAAACTGACAAAATAGCTGACACAATCAGTGTGGACTGCCAAAGCCATTCCTTCAGAAAGACTCCTCTCCAAATGCTTACAAGAAAACTGAGCAGCAATTAGAAAAAAGGGATGGTCCTTCCATACATAAATATTTGATTACAAGAGAGGAAATAGCAGAAACACATGGTCAAGTCATAAAACAGAAAGCCCTGGTGGAAATTTGCTGGAACCTGTGGCTGGGCTTTTTCCTAAGTGATTCAGAGAACAAGATGAACAATAAGATGACTGATTTTCCTCATGCTATTAGGTTATTCAGGGCAGTAGAAACAAAAGCAAAATGGAAAGAAAGATTTATAATGAATAAGCAACTAGGTAAGAGCTGGCAGATGAGATTGACACTAGTGAAAATAATCTCACCTTCAAAATTATTACAACCACTGGGAGATTCTCCAGTTGTGATAAGTATTTCTATTAAAATATTAGCTCAGTACCCAGTAGCAGTTAAAAAAATTAATTCATATTTAGAAAGAAAAAAAAAAAATTGTGTTGGGAATTGTTAGAAGAGACATACAGAATGAAAGGACAAAAACTATAACATCCATGCATAACCCATTTTACACCTGTATTATGAAAATAATGATACCTCAAAAAGATGCAATAGGTCTGAAAAAAGATTCAGAAAAGAATCAAAGTAGCAGCACAAGTTCATGAAAGGAACACATGCTAAAATTCTTCTATCTGGGAAAAATGCTGAGGGAGAGCTGCAATGACCATGCCCTGTAAAATCACAGGTGGCACCGAGACCAGCACCAAACATCAACTATTTTATGTTTATTTCAGTACAAGAACATGAGAACCTAGCTAAAGTAGCCAAAGTTTAATGAAAAAAAAAAAAAAAAAAGGACCAAAAAACCCCACAAAACCCCCATAAAACACAAAACATAAACATAAAACACAAAAAAAAAAACAAACCTGTGGCTCTTCATATGACAATATGCCATGTTAAGCTGTGTGATTCACTGTCATAAGAGGTTGTGGACACTAGAATTTTACATAGGTCCAAAAGCAACTGGCCTAATTCAGAGAAAAGTCCAGTGAGAGTTATTAAGCACACAGAAGTTGTAGCTGTATCATAAAGAGTACTAGTATATCACTGTACTAGGTCTATTCTACGATTTTGTTAGTAATGGAATACTGGGCTACCCAGTCTATTATAAAGATTCATGTTAGATACACAGATAGGGTAAATATAGTCCTTATGTCAGGTTAACCCATACAAGAAAATATCATTAATGAATTAATAGGAGTTAGACTGAATTACCTATTTACTTCCCCCTCAAGATGAGGAAATAGCTTTAGAAAAAAACAAAGCGCGCACACACACAAAAAAAACTTTGGCAGGAGACAGAGTCTCTAAACACCAGATTCAGATTCCAGATGCCAATATAAGGTATTACTGTGGCATTTCCATAAAAAAGGCTACCCTACTGCTAAGGTGACATCATCAAGATTAGAATGACTAAACAATGAGGTTTTTGAATAGCAGAATCACCACTAAATATGTTTTTGGTAATATTGGTTCTAGCAGCATCTAAGTGCACCTACTACAAATAAATATTCAGTAACTGTTACTGTTAGCCTGGATACACAAATCATACAAGAAAATAATAAAATTATTCACTGTACTAAATTCCTGATCAAGACCCAGTCAGTTTTCCACTGAAGTAACAGGTATCGGGCTTGCTAGTTCCAGAGATACTTAGGTTCATGACACACCTAAGAGGTGGAACGTTTGGTGAGAAGTACTGATGATCACAAACTGGGATGTAAACTAAAAATTTCAGTTGTCGTTGCCTATCAACAAAGAAGTTTAGATTGGGAATCTGGAAGTGAGAGAAATACAGGATAATGTTTTTGTCTGGGGAAGTGAACAGATGGTCTTAAAAGGAGCAGCTTTAAAATCAGATGAGCAGCTAAAAAGTGTGTGGAAACAGCAGTAAGAGAATTATTTTTTTTTTTAAACTATTCTGTGCCTCTGTTCTGCACAGCTTTGTGAAATAGCACCGAGTCTCAAAGCCTGACCTTCTAGTTTCAAAATATTTTCGTCTGGATGAATAATCTTTTGTAACTGGGAAAAGAATGTTATGTTGTGACTAGAAGTATATGTTTACAAGATGCCCTTTTTTTAATACCCAGGTCTCCCAGACACTGCTGAAAACAACTTCAACTTCATTCTGTAACAAAGAATTACAGAATATTGCATATGGGGGGTTAATATCACATGTTTAACTTTAAAAAATTGGACACCTATGTCCATATACAGCTCATAGAAAATACGCCTTTGGTTGTTTGATTATAATTTTACAGAAGTGGCTCGTTTACCTCTTCAGAAAAGGTTAGTGAGTATACTTACACAGTTACTGCAAAAAAAACACTAAAGAAAGACTCAAAAATAAGAAAATGGGTAGTTTTATAGACAATCATTCCCTTTAGCTATAATGTGAAGTAATGGTGCATGAAGGAAATTATAATCTGCATTAAGATTTTTATTAATATGCTTTCCTACTGTTCAGCAGCAAGAGGCAGGCAGACCAAGACACACAATTCTTGCTGTAAATCTCAATCTTGTTCCAGCACAACATACAGCACCATAATCAAAACATTAAGTACTTAGCTGCAAATCAGAAAGAACTTTCACAATTACTTACCTGATTTTCTTCATGGGAAACTCTCATTTGTTCTTTAAGAACTGACATTCTGGCTGCTTCTTCTTTCCTCAGTACTCTTTCTTTCTTTAGCTCAGGACTCCAGAAAGTTTTGATGCTATTCATAGAAGAGCCTAGCTTGCTGTCCTTAATGTCTAGTTCTTTTCTGAGAAGATCATTCTCCCTCTGTAGATCCTTAAGCTGAGCCTGCAGGTCTAGCATGGTACTATCTCTAACCTGTCTCAGCATAGAAGGAACCTGATGGTGGTGATGGTGTGAAGATGTGGTCAGACCTCCATGCTGATCAGTATAAGAAAGGACATCTGTGTGCGAAAGTCCAGCTGAAGCAATATTAGGACTGCTCCCCATAGCTGTGACTCGACCACCATACACAGCTCGATTTGTAGCCCTTCCAAGAGTCATTGTGCCCTTTGGGAAAGTAGTAGAAGCTACACCTTCATGGTCACTCAGATACATTGGTCCAGATGTTGCATAGGCTGCATTAAGGGACTGGATGTTCTCCATTGATAACGTCTTACCTGTTCCTCCTCCTCCTCCACTACTTGTTCGCCTATGGCCCAGGCGAGGAGATCTTGGCAAACGAGGAGACCTGGAGGGACTTCCTTCTAAGTTGCTGATTGTTCTTGCACTTCCGTACATTTTTCTTCTACTTTGAGGTACTATTTAGTAAGAAATTAGTAACACTAAAGTTGAATATTAAATTTATAATTCCAGCTAGAAATATTGGCAGTTTCACTGCATTCTTCTAGTAGGCAAAAAAATCTATTGTTCCTCCAAAGTCAGACCTGAAAAGAGATATTACAAAATTAGGTACATTTTCACCTTGGAAAGCGAGTTTACAAGTAATCATTAGATAGTAGAACATAAAGTAAACCACTTCCTAAAGTAATTACTTTTAAAAAGTACTATACATTTTTGTATTTAGAATGAGTAGTTAAAATTGCATTTTCAAGCTAATTTCATTCAGAAGAAAAAACACTGCAGATTTCTTTCTTGTTAGAAAAAGTCTTGACATTTTGATGTAGTTTAACAAGCTTTATGTTGCAATAAACACTATAGGCCCCAAAAATATCTTATCTGATATGTAAACTGACTTAAATGATTTACTGTGGGAAATTATATAAAGGAAGAAAAAATAAAAAATAAAAAGCTGGTTTTGACACTAAGAGCTACCCAAACTAAGATACTGTATTTTCAAAAAACAGTATAAAAGTAGCAGTTCAGCAGCTTCTTTAGTACAGGTAGGTTAATTAAGAGAGAACAATGAAATAAGCAAGAGTGTTAACATCTGTTTGGATTAACAAAGAGGGGTTTCAATAGGAAAAGTATGAAGGAAACAGTGTTTCTAGTACTTTGCTGTAATCAGTGCAAACAAGTTTCAGTGAGAAATATTAATAATAAAGTTAATTTGAGTGAATATTTCCTTCTCAACAACTATAACGTTTACAATACAGAATGATTTGTTCAATGAAATACTAGCTTGCTAATATTTGTTGTTATTAAGCTTCTCAGGAAAAGATTGCGTGTAGAAAAGAAGTGCTTTGTAAAATACTGTTTTCTTACTTGTTTTTCCTATAGATACATTATTTTAATAGACCTACCCTTGTAATGTATTTAACAAAAAATACATGTGGACAAATGCTGTGTATTCAGATTCTCCAGTATCATCATCATACATTTACCAAGTTTCAAATAAGTTCATTGATTTTACATAACCTTAATATAAACATACAATAGGACTCTAGAATTAGATACATAGACCCACTGATTTTTTTTTTAAAACAAATCTGAACATATTGATTAATTTGTAGCATTAAGTTGGTAGTCATTAATCAGATCTAGCACCATTTATTTCAATGGTAACTAGAGGAAGAATCACAGAATCCTAGGGGTTGGAAGGGACCTTGAAAGATCATCTAGCCCAACGCCCCTGCCAGGCAGGATCACCCAGAACACATCACACAGGAATGTGTACAGGTGGGTTTTGAACATATCTAGTGAAGGAGACTCCACAACTTCTCTGGGCAGCCTGTTCCAGTGCTCTGTCACTCTCACAGTAAAGAAGTTTTTTCTCATATTTACATGAAACCTCTTATGCTCCAGTTTGTACCCATTGCCCTTTGTCCTATCACTGGATGTTACTGAAAAAAGCCTGGCTCCATCAAGAACTAAAATTTGATTCAGTCAAATCCAGTGATCTTTAAGCATACCCTCAAGATATCCTCATTATCTACTGATATATTAATTCCCAGTGTTTTGAAACATCTGTTTTGCATTTGCTGTGGAAAAAAAAAAGTGTTGATGCAGGGGCAGGCAGAGGGATGATTTGATGTTATATTTATTAATAAGCTCTAGCATATTAAATCCTCACCAAAAATATTAGCGTAAAACATTATGGATACTAATTATGTCAGCAAACAAGATCCCACACAAATATATACCCCATGGCTTATATGAATTCCAATAATTGCTTGGCATATGCTATGTTTCTATCAAGTACAAAAGCCAGCATTGTTTCAAGCAAAATTTTTCTCATTTGAAATACCAGTATGTATCTAATTAAGCTGTGATGTTTCAACTACTATTATACAACGGTGGCCATTCTTGCCATTTTTCACCTCTTTGCCAAGAGGTCACAAGAGTCCTGTGCCCAGGCACAGGATTCAGAGGCAGAAGGCACGGCACTGCACTCAAGCGTTGACAATGCCACTACAGGAGCTGGGGAAAAATACTGATAATCTGGAATCACTGAAATCCTTGTACTGTACCCAGGCTAATAAAAAATCATTTGTTTCAATGCAAACATTGCCCTGGGTAAAATGGAATAAACAATCCAAAATAACATTGTTTCACGTAAGCTATATTAACAAGATCAGTAATTCTGTCATAAAACATTACCACTTTTTTCCATGAATAAACAGCTCAGCTACATACATTGGCACTTTTTGCCGTGTAAAAACACTTTGGCTACACACAAAGCAAAGCAGGGGTACCTACCTCAATGAGAAAAATGTAGGTTTTAACTATTTGGGAAGACAGATAAAAAATTACATTCTAGCAACTCTTTTCTACTTCAGAATCACGTAACTGCAAATAACATGACTACTTTTAACTCTAGAATATCAAAACCTGCCCCCCTTTTCCATTGTCATCTACCAATATGAATGCAGTGATCAATAAAAACCATCTTTCATGGTGAGTAGGGGCAATGCAATTGCCTAATTCTCCAGTGGCTGAATCCCCTGGCCAAATAACATAACTTACAATGCACTCTGATAAATCCATCCTTGCATATTTCTAATTTCCTGAAAAAGTTCTGTAGCTTCTTCAAAGAGGATATCACATGAGATCAGAGCTGAAGACCATTTTCCTTCCACTGACTCAGGGCAGATTCTAAGCAAAAGCAACTGATAACTGTCCTTAAAAAAAATCTGGCCTGGTGAAAAAACTAAGATTACTAGCATAAATTATCAATGTACATTTAAACTGGATACCATAAAATATTTTTAGATGCAATAGACCTGATACATGGCCAGGTGGTGGGGGTTGGTGCAGATTTGCTCATCTTAAAAAATACAGGTATATAACACCCTTATACCATATCAATGCCTCTTTTCCTTTCCATTGCCACAGTCTGATGAATAAGGTTTTTTTATGCTTCTTAATGAGTCACTTAAAATCCAACTTAGCCTTTTATATATGTCTCTGATATGTTCTTCTAGATACTTGCTTTGCCTTTTGGAGTTCATTATTTGTGGTCTTTTATCTACTTCTGTGAAGTTTTGAGCAGTTCTCATTTCAAAGTAGAGAACACTTATCATGCTTAGCACTCCAATGCTTATTATTGAGCCCTAGTGGAAAAGAAAACCATGACTTCTGATCCAGAAGACTTCTCCTTTACTGTAATAATGTTTGCATACTGATTCAACATTGTAATTTTCATATACCTGTGAAAATTTCATATACCTGTGAATATACCTGTGAAAACAGAGGTAAAAGACCAACAACCAAAGAAATGGTACTACCTCCACAACAATTTAAGTTCTAGTATTTTTAATTTTTCCCCCTAAGAATACTAAAAGCAACATGGAGACCTCTATATAGAAAATGGAAGAACACTGATAAATATTATTTTATTTTCATTAGCTGCTAAGGACAGTGCACAGACCAAAATTATGTAAATAAAGTCTTAGTTTGTTTTAATTTGCATTTCATTACCTACTACAACTTGAATTATTCAGACTGACTTTCTTGCAGACACCTTGGAAAAAGGAAGGCATGTAAAAATGTGCTTTTTGGAACTGTATACATCTTCAGGAAAAACCCTGAGCCCATGTTTAAGGCTATGAAAAGTGTCAGACACAGTAAAAGCCCTTATGGAAGAAGGAAGAAAGGCACCTACACAATTTTCTACTCTTTAATGCTTATACATACAGCCTTCCTAGCTTCAGGACATTTATGGTGTGTCTCAACATAACAGGAACCGGAGGCATGAAGCAACATTACCAGCCTTAGGCCTTCAACAATTGCCACACAGATCATCTACCGCCTAGAGTAAAAGAGAAAGAAAGGAGATCCCTTCTCCCATCATCCCATAGAACTTGCTTACACAGAGCCATTCTAGATGAACTTAGAATCATCTGTATCCCGCCTGCTCCACTCTCTTGAAAACTAAATTGATTTTATATTGCTATTTTAATTTGGAGTGAGGAGGGCTGAAATTATTACTTGAGAACAATAATTTGTCACCCAATTTTTCAAGGATGGTTTTGCAGAACTAAAGCACAACCCTTATGCTCCATAGTGGAAGGGGTGAAAAGAAAGATAAGTGGAATGAAATGGAAACATAAGAATCCTGTATATTATGGGGATAAGAGAGCTGTACAAAAAAAACCACTATACCCGTAACTAAAGAGATAACCCTCCTCTTGATCAGAATCCAAAGCTATAGATGTTGCAGTATCAAGCACAAAGAAGCTCAAATACAACTCATGAAGGTTAACACTCTAAAAACTTCTGAGACAAAAAGTCCATCAGATTAATTCAGTCTGGTCTGGGACAGACTGTAGACCTATGGTATGCATTTTCCCATAGGATTATTTTGAGTTTTAAAATCCAAATCAGCTTAATAGCACAAGAATAAAACAAATGCTTATTTACTTGTCTCATTATTTTCTTACTTTAAAAAATTATTTTTAATGCACATAATGGATGACATAAAAACAACAATTATAATTCTGACTAATATTTTGTATTGTAAACAAAATTATATAAAAGGATTCAGAAAATTAAAAGTGTATTCACAGGGGGTATGGAAGGCAGACATTTCCCCCACCATGCTCTCATAAGCCTTGAAAATCCCAACCAGCAAAAAATAGTCTATTTCATGCTAAAATAGCTCCCAGTGGCTGTTCTAACTTATGCTTGCCTTATTCCTGCATTTCTGCCCTGTTTCATTAGCTGCTAAGGACAGTGCACAGACCAAAATTATGTAAATAAAGTCTTAGTTTGTTTTAATTTGCATTTCATTACCTACTACAACCTGAATTATTCAGACTGACTTTCTTGCAGACACCTTGGAAAAAGGAAGGCTGCACTCTGCACTCTCACCTGCACTCTGCAGACAACATCACCATGGG